TAAAAAATATATAATTTAAAAAAATATCTATATATATATATATATATATATATATATATATATATATATATATATATATATATATATATATATATTAAAATGAAAATGTTCTAGAGCGTGTATTATATATTCTAGAGCGTGTCTTCCGCGGCTGGGTCTTGAACCTGCGACCTTCGAGTTACTGGATCGACGCTCTACCAACTCAGCTACACGGTCAGACGGATTTAAGACTGGAAATTATGAAATATATACTGAATGTCATAAACATACTCGTTTATATTAATTCAGCATCAAACAATACTAGTTCTGCAAGTCTTATGTTAATTAAGGTGTAACTGTACACTCTGTAATATGTTAAGATGAAATATGTTATTATTTTATATTATTTTATTATTAATATGTTATTATGTTTCATCTTAACATATTACAGAGTGTACAATTACACCTTAACATAACACTTGCAGAACTAGTATTGTTCGATGCTGAATTAATATAAACGAGTATGTTTATGACATTCAGTATATATTTCATAATTTCCAGTCTTAAGTCCGTCTGACCGTGTAGCACAGTTGGTAGAGCGTCGATCTAGTAATTCGAAGGTCGCGGGTTCTGCTTGCGCTGGGTATGGAAATTATATAATACACACTCTAGAACATTTTCATCTTAACATATTACAGAGTGTACAATTACACCTTTATATGTATATATATATATATATATATATATATAGAATTTCGCTTACCTCAAAATTCCGCAACAGTCTGTTTTCATCAGTAAAGAATCATCAGGCGGTATCGCCTAATGATCAGTAAAGAATCATCGCCTGATGATTCTTTACTGATGAAACAGACTGTTGCGGAATTTTGAGGTAAGCGAAATTCTACATTTGCTCTATCTTTATGATATTGAGCACTCTTTGCGTTTCGTATACACAAACCTACTCGTATATATATATATATATATATATATATATATATATATATATATATATATATATTTAAAAAATTTTAAAAAATCATGTTAATTTACATAAACTTTAGCTTTGATTTTCTCGGTTTAGAGAAAGTGTATTTTAAAAATTACTTCGCTAATGTACTCATCAAAAGATGGGTCGTTTTTTAAGCCATTTAAAGCACTCGTACTCGTGTTTTATCACATATAAAACACTCCGCTACGCGTTGGTTTTATATGTGATAAAACACTCCTACTCGTGCTTTAAATAGTACATAACCAACAATGAGATGATGGATGTGGGACACATAAATTATATATGCGACAAGAACGCCATTCAACCTAATACGCATGATCTCTGCATGTCACAGATTTAAATCAGCGCAAAGGTCTATAGGCAATTGTACCCCAAGCTCACTACCAGCAACTGCGGACAGCTGTTTCGCTCTTTTGGGGCTGGTCAGCGCAGTGTAGCTGATCCGAAAAATATTTATACAACCAACAATGAGATGATGGATGTGGGACACATAAATTATATATGCGACGAGAACGCCATTCAACCTAATAGGCATGATCCCTGCATGTCACAGATTTAAATCAGCGCAAAGAAGATCGAGTCCGTTCTATTCTGGACAGATTCAACGTTTGTCTTGCAGTATATCAATAACGAGGCTAGCCGCTTCAAAACGTTCGTCGCAAACAGGATTGCCATCATTCACGAGAATTCGAATCCGTCGCAGTGGCGATACGTCAACTCGAAAGCTCACCCGGCAGATTTTGCATCCAGAGGCTTACGACCAAGTGACGAGCGCGAGATAAATCTTTGGATAAACAGGCCGGAATCCGTGCATGATAATAAATCTAACTGGCCTGCGCGTCCAGAAGGGGTGAAT